ACCACAGGCGCCCGCCACAACACCTGGCCATTTTTTGGTTGCAGCCGTCATTGTTGTTTGGCGGGCCCAGGCTGGGGATTCGAACCCGCCACCTTGGGTGTATGTGGCTGTCGCCTTAGCCGCTTGAGCCACAGGCGCTGAGCCTACCTTGGGTTTTTCAAACCCATACTCAAGAGTCATTTTGCTTTACTGGGGGTTACCACAAGTTCTCCATGGTTCTTAGTTCCCAGTTGAAGCCTCTTTGCTCCCTGCTTTCCCTTTCTGTCAAGGATGGACATAATGGGTACATACCTAGGCAGTATAAGGAGGACTAGCCCAGGTCAGGACAAATGTCTATCCCCAAAAGGATCATGATACTGGCCCTATTTATATTTCTCATGACAGCTGAATCTTCTCCCTCCTTTGCCACAGTTGGCCAATCGGTGCTGAAAGATGTCAGCAAAGTGAAGAAGCTGAAGCAGTCTGGAGAGCCCTTCCTGCAAGATGGATCATGCATCAATGTGGCACCTCACCTGCACAAGTGTCGTGAGTGCCGCCTGGAACGGTATCGAAAGTTTAAAGAACAGGAGCAAGATGATTCTACTGTAGCCTGCCGCTTCTTTCATTTCCGGAGGTACCTATACTCCTCTTTTTTTTCCCTTTGCCAGTTTTCCTTAGTGACACATAACTCCCACTCTTTCTCTGAATCTATAAACATGCCTCATCTCTCTCCTTGCTTTCTTTAACCCCTTTAAATCTCAAGGTCTATGTCAAGGCTCCATAATAGTAGCCACTTAGATATTCATATTACAAAATGACATGTGGCTTCATCTTTGGAAAATTGAAGTTGAGCACTCTTAGCTGCATCCCTCTGCTATTTCCTGAGTTATCCTTACTTAGGTTGTTTCTATTTGAAACCAGTGGTATAAGCAAAAAGATTCCATCTTATGTTATGGATCTGCCTGACCACTTATTCCTCCTCAGTGCTGGAGTAACTTGAGTCATGTTAGAGAACAGGGGAAGTCAGATTAAGAGATAATGTGAAACATCTTTGAAAATAGAGATAACGAATGAAAATCTTAGGCATAGCTCCTGCTTTTTTCCAAACAGCTGTGTGGTCACTTTTCCTGTGTGCTTAATAAACTTAGAAAAGGAGTTTAACGGCTTGGCGCCTGTGGCTCAAGCAGCTAAGGCACCAGCCACATACACCTGAGCTGG